GGCCTCACCTGGCTCACCTTCTTAAAGGGACAGTAGGGCGGGAAGGAAACTTGTTAGACAGGTAATAAACTTTAAAACCTGGAGGCCTCATGACCGGAATGTGACTGCGGGCGCCGCCTAGCGGGTGGTCCTAGAAATTGACTAGCCATTCTCAAGTGTGTCCGGAGCCCAACCCAGCCCTGATCTGGCCTTCTGCCTTATTCTTCTGTCTTGAAGGGCTTCTCCACCGTCCTTCCTTTCCTTTTCGGTAGATCGTAGATTTGAAGGGAGAGACGTTCTGTCTTACTAGGCTTAGATGAAGACAGTGCAAACTGCTACAACCCTTGCAATGCACGGAGGGTTAAAAGAGGAAGCAACGCCCAGAACAGCGCGACCTGGGTGTTCAGTGACAGGGATTGAGAAAGCCTTCATTGAGGGAGGGCCCGCAGGCAGGGAGCCTCAAGGTGCGCTCAGGGAGTGGTGAATGGACCAGTTTGACTGCTGGGGCACAGCATTTGTCCTGGGAGCCAGGGCAGAAAGACAAGTGTGGACCCGAGCCAGGAAGGTCTTGGTAAGCGTGCGGAGGCGTTTGAACCTTGCCTTGCACCCACAGAGGAGACATGGGAACCTAGGGAGCATTCCCAGTGCAGCTTTGGAGAAAAAAGAAGCTTGCTGCTTACTTTGGCCTTAGTGGTACACTTAGGCCCTCTTCCTTTCTGTCCAACTTAATAGGCATCTCTGTTCAGTCCTTACTATGTACCTACTCGAAACTCAAAGTAGCACACTCCTTATATTAAACTATTTATTTGAAGAGGGCTGGGGGCAAGGCACAGAGAGGACTAAAAGGAAGGCAGGGGTGAACCCCACGGAGGTGCAAACACAGTGATAGTGTGAGTTATGCACCCCCCCCAAGCTATGTACCCCCGAAGGCTCCGCTCCTGGACTGCATGGTCCTTTTCAGCCTCCCTGGCTTCATCCCATTACTGTGACTCATACATAGCTTTATTTTTATCATTTAAATTGTTGCACATTTTGATCATTGTGAAGAAGGGGAGGTGGTAGATTATAGGTACTTATTTTTTAAAGTTAGTGCTTCTCTCTTTTTTCCCCTTTAAAAAAATACCGTCATTATTAGATAATTATGATCCCTAATTCTGGGCCTACCTTATTCCTATTGACATAAATAACTGCCATATTTAATGAATATATATATTCATTAGAAAAATCATGTTAAACAGAAAGAAACTAAACAGAAAGTAGATGTTTTTCCTTCCACTTTGTAAAGTGCCCTAGGTTGACCATTATCTACCACTTCTTGTGATTTCTCGTAGAATTCTCTCCCTATTTCCACACAGTGTAATACTTTCCCTATCTCTCTCCCTCCACTCCCCCATACACACATACTTTAAACTGTGAGCATGGAGGGGCCATCAGATACTGCTCTGAACCAGGAGCCCCTTTTCTGATGTTAAGGATCTCGAAGGAGGGAGGAAGCTCATGGCTTCTCTTTCAGGCCAGAACTTTGTGGTTTCAGCAGGGAGGAATGGGCAAAGGGTGCAAAGCCAACCAAAGGGGAAATGAAGCAATCGTTGGACAGTCACTGCTAGGAAACAAGCCAGACTGTGGTGAGGTAATGCATGTGCTGCTTGCTGGAGTTTGTTAAAGTTAGAAGACCCTTGGGACTCGAGGGGATGGGGGACTGTGTCATGCAGTGAAAAAAGGAGTACTGAGCTCTGGAAAGGAGCCTGGCTTTTGTTTTGGGAAATCCTCTATCTTGGTCTGAAAGTCTCTTTGTGTGTGGCACATGCATTATCCTCTTTTCCTTCCAGGTGATCTCAAAACAGCATTTCTTCATGGTCTTTGTTGTGAGAAGTGGCACTTTCGATTTTGGACTTCACAGTACAACGTGTCAATGTCAAGGTATTTATAGGTATTTATACGACCTGCATCCTATGTGAGGCCATTTCCAGGGCCCATCCCAGACAATGGAAAGACATCCCAGGGCTCTGACAGAAAACAGGTCAGTTCCCTTAGCTGTCCTGTGCCTCAGTTTCCTTTCTTATAAAGTGGGATTAATCATGCCCACCTCACAGAGTAAGTGTGATGATCAGAAGGGAGAAAGTGCTTCTTTAACGGCCATGTGCTGAGCAAACACTACCTTGCCAGGAGACTAGTGGAGTCTGGGACTGGTGACGTCCTCCCAGAGACCTCCCAGCTTGCTTCCAAGTTTGACAACCTCTATGACTTATGACTAAAATATCATTCTTTTTCCTTTTAAAATTAACTTTATTGGGGCATTATGTACCTGAAATATATTGCAAGCATACAGTTCAGTGGGTTCTGACAAATACATACGCCCTCATTACTGCCACCTCAGACCAGACACAAACTGCTTCCATCACTTAGAAGTATTTCCTCATGCCCATTTGAACAGTTCCACTTCCGGCCTCAGGCATCTGTCAACTCAGATTAGCTTGGCCTTTCTTGTAATTCCATGTAGTCTCTGGGGTCTAGCTTTTCCCCTTTAGCAGGATGTCCCCACAGTCTCTCCCTGTTGCACACACATCAGCTGTTTGTGCCTGTTGCTAAGCATCACCTGCTGTGTGGATGCCCTAAGATATCACTTAGCAATTCAAAGTGAAAACTGGAAATTCTTCCTCTGATCTCCTAGCAGCCTGGGCCTCTGAGCTGCCAGGGCCTCCCACAAGGTCTCTACTCCTCCCTACTTAGAAAGAACCCAGTGTGTCTGGCCTCATCCTCATTCTGCAGTCTCTGTTGATGGGATTTCCCCTGCTCTCTTGTTCCTGCAGCCTTGAACTTCACACTACTTTGTTTATATTGGCCCCCACTTCCCTCCCTACCTGGCTCCTTCTGACCCAGGATGAGGTGAAATTATACCCAACCTAGGTCAAGGCATGGACTGTTCATAAAGCTCTGGTTAAAATGCAACTTATAGCACTAGGAGGGTAACCCAGGAGGCTGCTAGTAACCACTCTGAGACCATTAGTACAAATTAACTTATCAGATCAGTGTCAGGTCTCCTAGCAAGGACCTGGGTAGATGGGGGCCAGCCCACACTTGCAGGTAGTGAGATTTAGGAGACTGTGTGGGCTGTGGGAGGGAAGAATCAGTTGGTTCTTATGCAGCGTTGGGGTGGATTCTGCACATCTTTGATCGTAGCCTGGTTTGGTCCTTCCCTTTCCTTCTCGCCTGTGTGCTTACCTATCTCCCTTATGATCCTAGTTTACTATCAGGCACAGGGGTGGGGATAATAATAGTTACCATTTATTACAGCACCTACGCACGCTGCCGGGCACTTTACATACATTATTTCTCTTACTTCTCACACCAACCCTTTGAGCAAGGTATTATTAATCCATTTTATAGATGGAAAAATCTAAGGCACAGGCAGTGTAAGTTACTTTTAAAGTCACCCAGCTGTAGAGCCAGGATTTGAACTCAGTTCTGAAGGACCCTTGAACTAATGCTCCTAACAGGGTTTTAAGAAACAAAGATACCTCATTTTGCCCTTATTTCCTCTACTGACCACACATTCAAGGCAACAAGTATCCTGACTTAAAGTGACATCAATTAGGCCAGCCTGGCTTTGAATTTATAAAACAGAGTCACTGGGAATGTATTTTTTGGTGTTGAGTTCTTTCATTTAGCATTATGGATATAAGATTTATTTACACGGTTGTGGGGTGATTTGTACTTAAAGTGTGTGAATCACTTTCCTTAATTGTATGAAGAGCACCTTATTTTAAAGACCTCTCAATCTACAGCTAAATGTTCTACACTTGAACTGCTACACCGTGACTCCCATGTTTATCCAGCTTCTCTGTGTGCCTTCCTTAACAGGCTTAATCCTCCTGGAAGGTACTTCCATTAGGTCTTGCTAACCTAAACCGTCATTGATTGACTGATACATACAGAGGCAGTCTGTGACTATACTCTCTCCCCCAGATGTTTTTCTCTTGGTCCACCACTTTGCAGGGAGACAGACAAACAATACTGTTCAGGTACTCAAGTCTTCATATCAGAAACGGGACTCAAAGAGGTAGAGACATTTGAAGTTTTCTCTGAGATCTGTTGGAAGGTTTTATTATTATTTAATATCTGTTTGATATTGAGCAAATCACAAGCTTTTTAAGCCTCAGCTTCCGCATCCCCAAAATGAGAATGGTGATGCCATGTTTTGAATGTGCCCCCCCATCCCATTTTTGTGTGTAGGGAGTTTAATCTCCAAATGAATATGATGATTCTTGGAGGTGGGGCCTTTGGGAGGCAACTAGGATTAGCTGTCATCATGAGAGGAAGAGGAAGAGGCTCAGGTTACTGTGGCTCTGTCTTGTCATGCTGTGATGCAACAAGAAGGCCCTTACCAGATGCCAAGCAGATGCTTTCAAGACACTGTTGACTTCCCAGGCTCTCTTCTTTATAACCCCCACCCCCAATCTCAGGTATTTTGATACAAGAAAAGAAAAAAGAAATGAAGAAAGTGATAACGATATTGGTTATAGGTGAGGCAAGAGCAAATTTGACAGAGTACCACAGAGTAGGGAGACAGAAGCCCCTGGGCTCACTGCGTGACTTAAAGATGCAGACTTCATGGTTACGTCCTTTCATGCAGGCTTATTTGTGAAGTGGGTTTTTGAGAATCATTGGTGAAGTCTGCTGAAATAAGGAAGACCCTGATAAAAATTAGTTCCTGGATTAAACAGGATGTTTGGCTGAAGCTCAAATGTCAAGAGAGGCCAGAGAAGACTAAAATTTTTCTTAAATGGAGCTAAGAGAAATGACTCTCAATGCACCTACCTTATGAAACATTAAGTAAGTAAATCCGTGCAGACATTTTCAGGATGTGCCACATTCCTGTCTGCGTTTATTTGCTTTGTGAGTCCGGATCTTCCTCTGCAGTATCAGCATTCTCTAAAGCCTTCTGTTCTTCCCAGAGGCTGGAGAGGAGTGGAGAGGCTGTGAGCAGCTATTGAATTTCTAGCCTGACTGTGCATCAGAGGGGCCTCGGGTCAAAAACTAGATAGAGGTAGCCACCAAAAGGGAGGCAGGTTGACTCTGAAGCTGATGGGAGAGGACGAGGGGGCTGTGTGGGAATTTGCTTGGAATTACGAGTGACATCCAAGTGTGTAATTAGAGATGAACCTTTACCTTTCTACCTCCCTACCTCCATTTTTAATAGATCTCACAGCAACATAAAAACAATTCATGGGGCTGGAGAGATGGCTCAGCAGTTAAAAGGACCACTGACTTTCCAGAGGATCTAGGTTTGGCTCCCAGCACCCACATGGCAACTAACAATCTTTGACAACTCCTGTTCCAGGGAATCCAACGCCTTCTTCTGGCTTCCATGGGAACTGCACAGCATGGGGCCACTTACATACATGCAGGCAAAACACTCATACATATAAAATGAAATTAGAAAAAAAAACAACCTCAATTCACAATTGCCTTGCCATTTCCATTGGCAAGGAACAGGTCAGTCATGTGAAGGAGCTGGGATTCAGAATTCCTTGTGGTCATCAACCTCAATTCACAATTGCCTTGCCATTTCCATTGGTTTCTGAATGGGTGGAATGTGAAGGGAACAGGTCAGTCATGTGAAGGAGCTGGGATTCAGAATTCCTTGTGGTCATATTAGTGTGTGTGTCATGGGAAATCACTGACTGCTTATCACTCCTTTGCCTGATTGCCTAAGATGACAGCGATGCCAACCTGAGGCGTTAATCTGTGGCATTATTGCTTGGGCAGGTAGAAGAGCGGGAAGGAATGGAAGAGAACACGTCTCAGTGAACTGAGGCACGTCAGACATTTAACAGGAGCAGGTTGAGGCAAGTGTTAAACGCAATCCCCGAGGAACACAGAGAGATCTTGGGACTGTCGAAAGTTTGTTGGTTCTAGCTTAGGAGGGGAAGAGAAAATGGCAAATCAACCATGTTTGCAGTTGATTTTTAGTTTGGTGAGCGTGAGAGAGGATATGGCTGAAATGAATCTCCATGTCTTCCAGATGAAGCTAGTATAGTTTACTTTTAAAATGTAGAATTTTGTACACATCTTTAATCCCAGCTCTCAAGAGGCAGAGGCAGGCAGATTACTCTGAGTTCAAGACCGGCATGGTATACATAGTGAGTTCCAGGCCAGCCAGGGCTACATAGTCAGACCCCATCAAAAATTGCCAGGAAGAAGACTGGCATAATTCACACTTTTTAAAGTTATAGACCCCTTGGTTTAAAACCCGTATTATATTGTTGCCTGCATGTGTTTAAGTGTACCTGTGTCATACAATGCCATCAGAGGTCAGAAGATGGCATGGGTCCTCTGGAACTGCAGTTACAGAGGGTTGCTAGCTGCGATGTGGGTGCTGGGAATCAAACCCACGTCCTCTGTAAGAGCAGTCAGTGCTCCTAACCACTGAACCATCTCTCCATCCTTGGAAGGGAAGAGTTTGTAATGACAGAGCTTTACTCTTGAACTTGCTGCTTCCAGTGCAACAAAAAGCAGAGACCACAAGGTCTAGGAGGTAGTCACTGAGAGGAAAGGACGGTCTCTATGGAATGTGTATCTGCTAGGTTCTGAGCTAGAGAGGGGGACTTACACCCTGACCATCCTTATGATAAAGCCGACATATCTTCCAGGCAGGGCATCAAAGAAGAAAAAGTGGCTGGAGTGTGTGTTCTTTCCTTTTCTTTCTTCTTGCCCTTCTATTTCTCCTTGTTTTCTGCTCTCCCTCCCTCCTTCCCTCCCTCCCTCTCTCCCTCCCTCCCTCCTTCCCTCCCTCCCTTCTTTCCCCCTCCTCTGTCTTGCTTGGAATTCCTATAAAGTAGACCAAGAGGAAAATCCAATACCCACTGTATTAAGTGTTTAGTGTATTTAGTTTTATTTGTTTGTTTTGAGAGTTACTGGGGTTACTGGAAAATGTGTTAAATAGCCTTTGGATTCAGCAAAGTCCGTCCAAGGTATCTGCCTCCAAGTACAAGACCTTGAACATTTTCCAGAACCTTCCAGAGACTGAGCTTTTTCAGATGGATGCCTTGACTTCTATGAGCCTGCCACCTCTGCCAAAAGGCTGCACTCCTATGAAGGTAACTTTGGAAGAGGCAGAAACAGATAGACAGCTGAACATGGGAAGCTAAAGTTCACCCTGGCAGCATGACTTCAATAGGGCAGTTTTAGTCTGTTTACTCAGCAGAAACTTGCTGATCCCTTCTGATGGACTGGATACTATTCTAAGCATTGGGGACACAGTGATAAACAAGAAAATCGAAACCCCTAGATATCTTGCCCCACTGGTCCACCTGTTAGTATGAAGAGACAGGTCATTTGTTACTGTATAACAGAACACATTTTTCAGTTGGTGAGAAAAACTGGGAGAAGAATAAGACAGGTGAAAGGGAATTTGGATAAGTGGAAGAAGAGTCTATGACACAGACAGAATGGGTTTGACCAGAGCACTGAAGAAGGGGGGAATGGGCCATGTCAGCTATTGGAGAAAGAGCAGGTGACAGGTAGAGCTAGGGAGACACCAGGAAGAAGCAAGGAGAAAAGGTGAAGCAGGGTATCAGAGGGACATGCTGGGGCTGGAGACAGTCACTTGCATACAGAGGTTCTTTCAGGCTCAGGCAGGCAAAGCTTAATGGAGAGTGGCATCTGCCCAAGAGCTGTTGTGCTGTGTGGTGTGGTGTGGTGGGCTGGGCTGAGGTCCTGAGGAGAAGGGAAGATAAGCTGAGGAATGTGGGCTGGAGCTGGCCTTGGGGACCAGCTGGTGAACTGTGAACTTTCTTCTCTGTAAACTAGAGCCAGCAAAGGTTTTGCACATGGGAGCCATTTGCTTAGACGTGTGTTCTGAGTGATGGTGGCTGGATCAAGGAAGAGTAGCGGAAGTTGGTCAAAGGGTCATGATCCAGGGAAGAAATATCAAGGGCTCAAATTTGGGCCATGCATGGAAGGAGGGATAGGGAAGCGTTACAGAATCACAGGATGTGTTGGCTGGTTAGATGTGGGGGTGAGAGGAGTTGACCAATTCCCAGGATCACAATGACAGTTAAAGTGTTTATTTAAAAGAAAAATCTGAGTATGAAAGTAAGGGACCTGGAATGACTTTCTGTCCACTAGCACAATGCTTTGGAGACAATGGTGGTGAATTAGAGTTTTGTTTGTCCAAGCAGGGTGTGTATATTGGGAGTGTGACTTTGAGAAATGGGGTTGGCAGTGGAGAATAAGTGAAAGGGAGCCAGAGAAGCCTACAAGGGGGTAGTTGGCAGAGGACAATTGAATAAGTTCAGGCTTATCAAATGCCTTCAGGAGTAGAGAATTGGTTAAGAACAGCCAAGATACTTAACAGGGGTGTTTGTGCATGTTTGCAGGTGGTATGGGCTGGGATGTGACCTCCTGTCTTCCTATAGGGTAGGGATGCCACTCAACAGGGCCTTTGGAGTTAATCTTGCTTTTCTTGGGAGGGAAGGGTGGGAAGAAGTGTGACCTTGGATAAGGCAACCCTCCTTTCCTTTCCGGCCTATGGCCTGGTAGAACAGACAAAGTGGAGATTTCAGCTTAACAGACATCTTTTCTCTCCTTTCATCCCTTCAATGTGTCCATTCCTCTGTCTGTTCATCTAACGGCATGTTTTGCTCTGTGGTTGTGCTCTGTGATGTGAGTTTCACTTTGAATCCTCCAATGGTGGCTGGATTGGAAGTAAAGGTTACTATCTCTCAGCTCCTCTGCGTCTTTCTGGTTCTTTGCTTCAGTGCCAGCCTCTCCACAGTCCTCCCTGTGGATCTGGCCTTCTGCCAAAAGGTTGTATTTGTCTAGAGTGGGCTCTGAGATTTGCTCAGTTCTTTACCTGTCTTTTATCTCCGTGTGAGGATTGGTTTTACTTTTTTTTTAAAATCACCTTTCCATCTTGAAATGCATCCCTGGCTGTTGTTTTTTTTGCAACTGTCAGAACTGAAACCAAACCAAACCAACCAACCAAACAAACAAAAAAAAAACACCACCGGAAAAATAGCTTTTACCTTGTCATTATCACAATTATTATTACCTTTATCACAAATCTTCATGAAGCACCTAATTGTAATTGGCCCTTAGGGAGGGTAAGGGACAGGCATAAGTTTTGTACAGGGCTCTTTTGGCCTTTGCAGAGTTGAAAGTCAAACACCAAGATCCATGAATACCCACATATGATGAAAATGACTGATTGTCCTAGTTTTATTGGCCAATCCTCCTCTTTTGGCCTCTGATCTTCATCTGTTACTAGCTATGAGACTATTAGAAAATCCTTCATCTCCCTTGGCTTTGAGTAGTGATGAGATCTTGCCTGAGTTCTGGGGCAGGACTTTATGTTCTGCTTCAATATTAAGATCATTCATTAAAGAATGTTGTCTGCTTAACTCCCAGAAACAAAGTCACATGTGATCCAACATAATTTCAACATAATTATCACTTTCCCATTGAAGGCTTCTGAGAGAAGGCAATATGAAAGAATGAGGTGGTGGACAGGTCCTTAAAATGCACTTTGCTGTGTAGGGAGTTAAGAAGGGGCCTCATCCGCACACCTCTCCAGGGGTCTCTGAGACAGCATGATAGCTCTCTTGCTGTGCTCATCTGAGCCAGAATTGCCCTGAGCATTGTACGTATATTGAAGTTTGGTTCTACAGGAACTTGCCTGGTTTGCTCATCTGTTCATTTGATGGATAAGGAAGCGGAAATCAAGAGAGGCCAAGTAATTAGCTCAAAGCTCTGCATCTAGTAATGACAAAGGTGACCTTCAAACCCAGATGTCTGAAACCAGAACCCAGAATTTCAGTCATTACATTTGA